CCCTAGCTAATGCCTTTACCGACATGAGCAGGTTTTCCCTCCACCCCCCGGTCCGTTTTCGCTCATTCCCTTGTTTTTCCCCCAGGCCAGATTTTCCACCCGGACGCCTGGGTTCCTTGCAGATCGCGTCCCATGGCTGGACACGTGACTTGATTCGGAAACGTCGTCTGGCCCTTGAGAACCTGGGGGCCCCACTGATTGCCAATTGATTTCTGCCCCCCAACTCCGCTGCCCCCGGGTTCGCTGGCTCACCTCCGCGCTCCCCGTGCTGTCCCGCCCAGGGCCGCAAGTCAAGTCAGGGAGCTAAGGGCTGTGGGAAATCGCCCCTTTCCTTTGCTGGCCGTACAGCTCCGAGCACCCGAGGCCGGGGCATTGCTGCAATATGGATCATAAAGAACTGTTTGTAATCATCACCCGCGTCGGTGCCTCACCCCAGCGCCAGGGCTCGGCGACGAAACACGTCCCAGCAGCAAAACCCAAGGGGCTGGCAGATTCACAGAACCAGCACCCCACAGGGGACAGGCCCCCAGCCCCTTTCCCTGCCCCCCTGAGCCAGCCCGTCCCTGCCCTGGGGCTGGAAGGGAGCTGGCGCCCCCTAGAGGGGACAGGCCCCTGCCCCATTCCCTGCCCCCCTGAGCCAGCCAGTCCCCGCCATGGGGCTGGAAGGGAGCCGGCGCCCCCTAGAGGGGACAGGCCCCTGCCCCAGGCAGGCTCCATGTTCACGTCAGGAGTCCGGACTCCGGAGCTGAATTCTGCACATCACATTTATTTACACAAGGGGGGAAATCAACAGAAACCCCCCTTTGCGCGGACTCCCCGGTGGGGAATGAGCCGCCGTGGGGCTGGGCACGAATGGCCACGCAGGGGCCTGCGCGCACTCAGCCACTCTCTGCGAACCATTGGGCACAGCCGAGCGCTGACTGGCCCCCGCCCCACACCCCGGGACCTCCCCCGCGTCACCCCAGGGGAACAGGGAAAGCCACGTGTTCCTGCCACTTCCCCGTCTGCTGGGTGCCCCAAGCAGTGGGGCAGGAGGAGATCCCCCCCTCGCAGGGACAGGCGCAGGCTCTGTGCAGACTCAAGCAGTGTCACTGCGTCCGGCACACTCAGGACAGCTGCCCCCTCGCAGCACCGGGTTCAGGCTCTCGGCACACTCAGGCAGGCGGCAGGGTCACGTTTTGGTGCATTTCTCCACATCCAAGAGAGCTGACAGCATTTGTTAAATGCAAGCTGAGACTCTGCCGTAATAACCTGACTCCGGGAGCAGGGCCCTGCCCTGGGCCTGTAGTGCCCGCGTCCGCCTCCAGCCTATGACCTCTAAAAGCAGCCCTAGGGAGCCCAGGCAAAACTGGGGGGCAGCCCCCGCAGGGACAAACCCCAGGGTCAGGTCCTCAGGGACAGAGGGAAATCAGTGCTAAGAGTCAGGATCGGAGAATGTAAAACAGAGCCAGGGAGAGAACCCAGGAGTCCTGGCTCCCCGCCCCTGGCTCTAACCCACCAGCCCCCACTCCCCTCACAGAGCTGGGGGGAGCCATGTCTCAGGGCTACCTCTCCTGGGCATGCGCCCTCTAATGTGGCTGTGGGGCAGTACATGGCACCTCCCAGGGCTCCCCCAGCTCACAGCAGCCACTCCCAGACGTGCACAGAGGTGGGTAGTGTGGTGGGAGCCGGGCCGGGGATCTCTCCGGCTCACAGCGGCCGCTCCTGGGCGTGCACAGAGGTGGGAGGTCAGGTAGGACCAGGGGGGCAGGGCCGGGGGTCTCCAGCTCACAGTGGCCACTCCCGGGCGTGCACAGAGGTGGGCGGTGCGGTGGGACCCGTGGGGCAGGGACGGGGAGCAGGGCCAGGGATCTCTCTGGCTTACAGCGGCCGCTCCCGGGCGTGCACCCGCAGGTGGGCGGTGAGGTGGGAGCTGTGGCGGAAGCGCTTGCAGCAGGCGGGGCAGGCGAAGGGCCGCTCGCCCGTGTGGATGCGCTGGTGCCCGGTGAGGGTCGAGCCCTTGCTGAAGGCCTTGCCGCACTGGGCGCAGGCGAAGGGGCGCTCGCCGGTGTGGGTGCGCTGGTGCTGCAGCAGGTCCGAGCTCTGGCCGAAGCTCTTGCCGCACTGGGGGCAGGGGTAGGGGCGCTCGCC